ACACACACACACACACATAAACACACCAGCCTGTGGGTCTAATCCCCAACACCTAAGGGAGAGCAATTTCCTTCATGCAGGTGTAAATGCTAAATTGCCAACAATATTCCTCTGGCGTATTTCTTGTGATGTTCCATAATTTTTTGATTTTTCTGCACCACTCTAGGTCCAGTAATATTTCCTCAAAAATAAGAGAAATAAAGGTTTGGTGCATTAGTTTAATAATTTCGATATAGGCCTAATATGTCAAATAGTTAACAATCGAACTATCTAATTTAGTAAATTTGTAAACCGCACTAAGGTGTAAAGAGGAAAAAAAAGTATCCCGTTATCGTACTGTGATGATAACATGATATATAATGAAGTACATTACTGTTATTGTTCATAACATATAGCTTAATATATAATAAATAATACAATACATGACTAATAAATGCAAACACAAAATGACCAATGACACTATGATTTCCCAAACTGCCAGCATAAGAGGCATATATTAAGTGCAGCAGTTAATTTGCCGCAATCACCATTACGCTATACTGTATTTCATCTTAACTGTGAATTGCGAAGCAAATCGATAGGCTACATTGTGACAATTAATGCGATCTTCCCCGGGGGGGGGACTTTGGAATTGCATACTTCATGTTGTAACTCTAAAATAAAGAACTAAATATTCTCTTTTAGGTTACATTTACCACTCTGTGTGGCTTAATGCTCAAATTCGACATATATACAATAATAATTAAAGTACGGCGCCGACACTGGAGAAATCCATGCATGTTGAATATGTCAACCGCACATGATTTCGAACAAAATCTTTTCCACTTAAAGATATAACTTGTGGAACGTGGCCGCAAGGTGATATGGTATTATCTATTTATTTATTAGTTTATTTAACACGTTATTGATTAGATTTAAACGAAGACACCCAGCAATCTATGAGAACTTAAGTTATAGGCTAATCGGTTTTTTAAAGTGGGCAATAGTTGAATGACAAAGCACTACTAAACACTCACCTTGTTTATCTTGAATTTTAACAATCGTGTCTATGACCGGCTCCGTCTCCCTATCCAGGCGCCGGGCAATCACGACATCCCCGCTGTCGCGACTCACCATGACCGGACTGGCCTCGGAGCTTGGGTTCATCAGTTCAAAACTAGCCGTTTGAAATTTCACCGGCATAAGATTCATTACAACTGAACCGATACCGGCATCTTCGGATACGTTAATAACTAGGGCGCTATCGGAAACGAGGAGAGACCGCGACCTCCGTGAAATTCCGGGGGCAGATGCATCACTGTGGGGCGGGTGCGCCGCTGCCCAGAGCCGAGGATTTATCTCGATTTTCAAACTCTTACTTGTGCGGGAGGGCCAGCCACGGTCTCTCGCAAACACCTCAAAGTTAATCGGGCTGGCAAATCCCAGTATGGAATCCACCAAAATAATATCACCGGTTTTTGGCACCGCATAGAAACTGTTATTTTTTGGAAGTATGAAGTAAATCAATTCCGCATTTTTGCCACTGTCTATGTCATGGGCTGCCGCCTTGAACACTACAGATCTGATGGCTGTAGCATCATCCAAAGTTATCTTCACGTCGGAATAGGGGAAGATGGGCTCGTGGTCGTTCGTGTCCAGTATGTCGATTTTCAGGGACGCAACTTCGGCCACCACAAGGTGAGCGCGATCGCAACTTTGGCAGCATAAACCGAGCCCAATGATGTATTCAGATTGCTCTTCCCTGTCCAGCATTTCTGCGGTTCTCAGCAAGAAATGTCCGCTCTTGTGATGAGCAAAGACGTGGAAGTGGTCGCTGCCTTGCCCCAGTAGTTGTACGTGCGTACCTGCCGCCGCACACCATTCTTGCGCATCTGTCCGTCTGAATGGGATGCTAATTCCGTTTACCTTGGATCCTGGTGGGGAGTTCTCAAAAACATGCCCGTGGAAGAAAGGCAGCCGCACGTCTGTTCTATTCCCAAAAGTGAAAGTTACGAAACACAGTATTAAAGCAGTCCAAATCATGGCTCTTCGAGGGTGCACCACCGACTACGTTTTCTGACTTAGTTTTCTGATAAGTGAACAATACGGAACTGTGTGTTAATGCTGTCTGCATGTACGGATCAAGCTGAGCTCGCCGGTCCCCGCGATACACCTGCTCCTCTACGCAGCCCGATCGCACTGTGAGGGTTGATCTGCTCACGCATCTCTGAAGAAGCGAGACGCGCCGGACAGCGCCTCGGCTGGGAGACGAGGTAACTTTCGGGGGATTCCTCGGGGAACCCTGGTCCACGTGACTACAGATAGCCTTCACTTCATGTCCACCCGTAACCAAATATTACTACTCTGTAAAACCCCCCCCCCGCCGCGCATAAATTAAATCGCAAGGGGGAGGAGAAATAAACAAGGGCTTGTTTTAATTCCGCAAAACTAATTTTCAAGTAGATTAACCTAACCGATATTTCTGCTTAAGACTAAATTAGACTTAAGTTAACGATCCGCCCTCATGTCTGCATTTAAGATGATTATTATGGAGATGTGTCCTACACATACATGAAGAGACCTTTAACTGTCATCAAGAACTTTCATTATCCATCATGTAGCCATTTATCTCTGCCAGGGTGACTTGGGCTTCAGCCCCCACACAATATTTTTACCACCCCCAACCCCCCCCAACCCCCTCCACCCCAAGTAAATCTACACTAATTAGTTTAAATAGTGTGTTCATTTTCATTAAAACCAGATGGCCCAGTAAGGCTACCCCCCCCCCC